TCAATGTAAAAAACAACGAAAAACTTTTGCTTGTATATTTTTTTTCCGTATTTCTCCTCGTAACTACTAGTATTTCCATTTACTCCAAGAATGAGCGCCAGTCATCACAGACTGGTAAGTTTTGACTGACTGTGTACAGACATTTTCGATCAGCGTATTACATGTAAATGCTTGAGTCAATGCTATAATATTAGCTGAGGTATTGTGGGTGTCAGTTACATGTACATTGGAATAAATCATTAAATTTTAGTTACATTGTACCATTTTTTTTCTACAAATATCGGAATCGTCCATGTGGTCCACTTATAGTTTAACCATCATGTATTCAACACAATGTTATTCTTACCGGTACTGCCCGTTCAAACACGTGTTCTATTTATACCTACGACTGAACATTACCTGCGCCTCAAGTGCTGCAATGGCTTTTTCGTTCTCTTCATCAAGTTCATCGCTATCGCTATCTCCACTCGATTCAGAGTTCTTGTCTTCCATTTCTACGTCATTATTCTCCTCTTTTGTGATGACTTCCGTTTGGGGATCTCCGTCCGCCATTTTGAACGCAACTAAAACGAGGCTTGGGGACTCCTCTTGGACTCCCTAGCTAGTGTTGAAATAATACTTCTAATAGTAAGTTCTGTAGTTTTCGTGTTTTTTTTCTAATTCTAGAAAAGCCTACCAGTATAAACTTGAAACCCTAACCTATTCTTTTGCAAATATACAAACACCTCATATTTACTGTATTACTTATTTTTAAAATTACTTTTATAACGACATTAAGACATTCAATAAGTTGCCTGTCTGAGATCTATTATATTACTAAATATTATATGTATTGTATTTCATTAAGAACATTTTATTGTTGTCAACCAATAGAAACCAAGAATAAATGAATTTAAATTAATAAATTTATTATTGATATATTATTTGAGAATGTGTCTCTGATTACTCTTTTTTTTGAGTTGCTGTCATCTGTGTACCTTCTCTTTATAAACATATTTTTTCTGATATTTCCCCTGTATTGTTTTTTCAATATATTCTCTGTGGAGATTTCTCATCATAGTTTATAGCGGTCCATCTGCGGTTTGTATAACATAAGCTCACAATGTACTGAATTGTTAGGAATAATATTATCCGCGATTACAATAATAATCCAGATCATCCTTAAACACTCCAGTGCTTTGTAAGTGGTGTGTATTGATGGGTGGACACACATATTTTTTTGCTTGAAAAACACACACATTATTTTAATAATTAACTTTTGTTACCATGATCACCAATATTTTCTTTTATCACACATTTACAATTTTAACATTGGTCACAATATTTGTTGACCAAGATTCTCGACCCACTCAACAATTTGCTGTTCAATGCGAGTCTGAAATCCTGCGTTATGCTGGAAATCGAACAGAAAACAAAAACAGGACACACGAAGGTCATAGCGTTGTAGCGAAACAAATCAAAAAATTGTGTGGGATTCGAAAACGAGTTGTACAAATTTGATTGTGGCCCAGTTTGAAAATTAAAAGTATCTCAACGCATTATTCAAAGAACGGCATTTCTATATTGAGCTATAAAAAAAGAAATTTATATTCAAAACCAAATCGATGTTTGCGGTTGAGCATGTTATCATGCAATACACAAGATCTCGAAGTGAACGGGAAGTCACCTAAGGCATGTTAGTTTCATTCTACATGTGGTTTCTTATCACTATCAACACAAGACAAGCCTCACATCAAAGCATATTAAATATGCCATAGTAACCACACAATTGAAATATTTCATATTTTATTACTGTTGTAAAAAGGTTGGCGTCACACCATACTAAAGTATACAGTTTTTGTAGTTGTTCAATTTATGCATATCCTCGTCAAAAATATTAGCTATTTCGACTTAATACCTACATGTACTTTCTGAATACAAATTAATGCAAATATGAAAATTCAACTACTAGTACAGTAGTACAAATTACCAGTACACGAAAATTCCTGAATGTGTGGAATTAACTTGACACTTTATTTATTTATTCTAATTTGTAAAACAGAAAGCCACCAGTGGCAAAAGAATCCTCCATATTTATTATTACCTTTCTAATGCCGTTATATACTGCATGGTCATGAATAACACAAGGGGTGAATATTCATGCCCCCTTTGTGGGGTTGAATTCTGTCATACAATCATTTTTGCTCATTTAGAAATCAAAATACACATTATAAATTCATGAAGACTCTGATAACATAAAAACATAATATTCATCTGAAACTGATAACATTTGAAGAGTGGGAGTTTCGTTCTGTACTCGCAAAAAAATCATATTAAAGAATTCGCCACTAAAGGGTGGTGATATGAAGCCAGCACATGTATAATACTTCATATAATATAAGGAAATATTTTAAATAATACACAATTAACAAATTACTGATAATGCATGGGAACACATAAACGTGTGCTATTTCAAATCTGGGCCGCATAGTTGGTAGGGAAATAAAAACACTTATTTTTTCCATTTTAGAGCAAATCACATGTAACTCTTGTTCGATATATTTATTGATTGAACGCCCCTACACTCTTTATTATTGCGATATTTATTTGGCCGTGTTTCATTTGGGCCCCTTGAGTAAGTGAATATATAGAGAAAAGCGCCATATGTGGCAACGATGATAGAATGCTTCATTTTGATTTAAAGCGCGGTGGTCGTCGCGCAGTGCGTGTTCTAATTTCATGTAAATAAACAATGTATTTTACACGCGTTGTATACGACGCTGTGAGTCCCATATCGAACACGATGCGGCACGACAACTACCGCCCTTTAAATATCACTATGTGTATGTCAATAGTTATAACCGTGTATTACTACAAACTAATACTGACAATCATGAAATATTATTAGTGAAATAAAAGCCTCTTGTAAGTGTCGAAATCTAATTTATCAAAATAAAAAATAAGTTATTCAAAAGTGATTAAGAAGAATACGATTACAGATAGTGTTGTGAGTTTTTCCAACCCAGCAGCAGTTGCCCACGTGGTAATTGCGCTTGACTCAACGGCAGTTATACAATTAGCGTAGTCATCAAAGTCAACTCTCGTAATAGCACATAATTGTTCAGTCTTACACTGAGACTGGCACACGCTAACGTCAAAGCTGACGCTGTTATAGAGATAATACTTGTCAAAGTTGTCACTCTCTTCATCTTTGGAACGACTCTGTCAGTTGCTGCAGAGAACTTGTCGTCACGTCCGGGATACCGTAGACCTCCTTCGCAGAGTATTCGAGTTTCCAAATAGGATCATTGGAGGCACCAGTTTCAGAGAGGTCCTGGTAATACTGTTTTATATCGAGGATTTGCCATGTGTCACGGTCATATTCGAAGAGGCGGATGCCTGGGTTGTTGGGCCCAACACCCGATAAAGTCGTGTTCCATGGTGTGACTGCTGGAGTCAGGAATAAGGAAGCGACTGCATCTCCTGAAAGGTACAAGAAAAAATACTTTCATTTGTTTTACCTATATAACTTTATCGTTTCTAAAAAAAAAATTGAAAAGAAACAGCCGATGAATGTAAATATACAGGTATACATTTTGTTACTTCCTCAGTTTTTCATCTTTATTGTGATTTACTTTTTCTGAGTCAATATCCAAATAAGGATATGATTATGCAATAAAGATTATTATTATTAATATTATTATTACATATTATCCACCGATTACAATACCAGTCCGTCGAAGGTCAACGATATGTTTTTTTTTTATTCGAAGACTTGAAAAATGAAAAGACAGCAATGTCACTTGCTATGCATTGATAATTAATGAACAAATGATGGAGCATTTGTATTGATGTAAATTAATCGTAATTGTTGTTATATTACAAAAAGCTGTCCTATACTGTCGTGTTTACAGTCCAGACACTTTTTGTACGCAATGCACGTAAAATGATACTTATTTTACTTTCGTGAAAAAAGACATGGTAATTTACAACATAATGTGCGTAATTGCGAAATTGAAAAACAAAAGTCTGCCATAGTATACGTAACCAACTTTTACCACTGCAGAGTTAGCATTCCATGACAGAAAACATATTACACACAGATGATTCTCACCTTGATCATCGTAAAACATTCTGAAGCTGTCAACGTGTTGATGTGCGAAAAACTGACCAAAGATGACGTCAGAGTAAGTTGTGATAATCTCGATATATCTTTCGTTAAATTGCGGGTAAAACCAGGATTTCCCAGCATGACGTTCAAACACACCAGGGGGCACGTGACCAATCAGGTAAACCTATGGATGTCATGGAAACGAACATTTATTAGTCTGCACAATCGCTGTAGTTTGCACCAGAATGAGAGTGAGTAATTGAAATCTTGAAGTGTGATTATATTATTGCGGTATTAACAAAAATATCATATATTACAGTTGTATATTATATTATGACACTTGACCTTTTCGTCATTCTCTGTTGCATTTAACAAAATGTCTTCTAGCCACTGGAATTGGTCCCCAGGATCTTCCATATCTGCCGTCAACTTATCATTGGTGTAATAGTAGACTGTGTTAAGACCGACTATTCTGTGCCCAGTCTTGTATAGTGCAGTGTAGTAGGCCACTGTGTAGAGAAATACAAAGCTACATGTATGTACATGCATGTGCAATACCTGGGGTAAGAAAACAATCTGTTGGCATGACTACCGTCTCCTGTATTATTGATATACTTGCAGAAACACTGGAGTACTCCTAACTATCGGAAATCAGCATTTGGGAATTGTTACCGAGGCATTCTTCGCTGATTTCCCCCACATCGCACTACCTTGTTTGAATGATTCCACTGCTCCAGGGTAGGATTCCAACCAGTGTTCCCACCAATCACCAACGGTTTCATATACTATGTTAGGCTCAGGCGGCATCATGTGTTTGGGATGATAGTCATGGTTACCCAGAACAGGGAAAACATGTGTATCTGGAAATACTTCCATTAAAAGCGAAGTCAGGTTCCAGATCATGTCTAATACTTTGTCTGTGTTTAGATTCTCGTTCGGGACATGGGGAGTGTCGTCCCTGAAAATGGTAGAAAATCATTGTAGTTCAGTATGTAAACTTTTGGTAATAATTTGTTATAATTACTACTAGTAGTTAAGAACAACGTCGAATGTCACTGATCCATGCATTAAATTATTGTAAACAACTACACAAAGATGACAGTTACCCGGTCCATATAATGAAGTCAGGGCTCGAGTTTAAATCTGCCATGGCATAGACGGAGGAATTGATAAGGGACCATGGCGAGTCACATCGATAATCACCCCAGTATGCCGGCGTCTCTCCATTCAAGTTACGACAGCTCGATGCTGGATAATCACCAGAAGTGTAATTGGGTTCGTGGTGAAAGTCAGTCACATGCCAAATTGTGCCTGAAAAAACAATAAAAACAAAAAAACATGACATGTATTATGGAGGTGATAGTGGTGTAGAGAATAATATACTGTAAATGCCCAAAAAAAATTATTTAACAATAAAAATGAACTGTGAGATACCATTGCCTATCTTTTCTTAGGTTATATCATTATAGCT